TATTTCCTTACCTACTTCTTTTTTTATTATCCACACTTTGTGCTAATTATTTCTTAGCCTTAACTACAATTAATTTCACACTCTATTCTGCATAAACATATATTTTTCTCTTTTATTTCTCGTACGTTTCACTGTCATCATCTGTTCTTTTTTCTGTTTATTTCTTTCTACACTTCTCCGCAAGTAACTCAATATTCTGTGTTCTATAGAAAACATATATTTTTTCTCTTTTATTTCACCTATCTTCCTCGGTTATCGGCAAGCCGTTTTCTGTTTCTTTCCTATTAGCTGTAGCCACAAGTAAATCCTCACGCCCTGTTCCCTATCAAATTAGAATGCAGAAGTGCGCAAGAAAATGACATGGTCGAGCCGTAGCGATAATAATGACTGATGCGCCACTGTGATACAGTCATGGCCACTTGCGTGCGCCAAGACTTGAAAATCGGTGGGCGGTAAACAGCTTCATTATACACAGAAGAGAAATACGAACGCCCACTTCCTCTCTTTCTGTTGTCATTATGACGCCTCTTAATGACAGCCAATCGATTATTTGTTGATAACGCCTGTTTTAACGAAAGGGAAAAACTGCGAGTAGAAAATTTTTGTTTAATATCCCTCTGGTGCTTTTAGAAATCTAAAACCAAGAACCATTATGAGGCTTACGGCTATATCACATTAAAGAACCGATTTCCATACAATCGCTGAAGTTAAGCAACGTCACTACCTCGATGGGTGACCGCTTGGAAATACCAGAAGCTTTAAGATTGGATGTGTAATGGATGGTGGGGTAATAGATAATGGCTCGGAAATGTTAATCGGAGAGCCGAGTTTTAATTCCTGTTAGGTTCCTTATAGTCATTTATGAGGAAAATATCCTTGGGAAAGGCATGAAACCACTTCTTCCCCCTCTTGCTGATAGGTTAATTAACAAGACATGAATCTCTCCCCATAGGCAGGATATGGCAACCCTCTCTAACGCCACCTCCACGGAAAGTGCTCGGACGAACTACATGGCCTGGTCCCGCCAAAATCAAACCATTACAACAAGAATACGCCATGCCACTTGCACAGTTGCAAACTATCCACATTCCTTTCGTATCCCACTGCTTGAAAAAAATCTGCCTCGTCGTAGCGAAAGACACATGATCACTCAAGCGTGTATCACGCATGACACATAACTGACTGAGACGTCCTCCACACTCATAACCCTTCTATTTTTTAAAAAACATTCTGCAAAGTTTTTTTTCGGGATTACCATCAGTTGTCTACTTGCTATTTTTTAAAATATTGGATACGACATGAAATATCCTGCCTTTTAAAAAAAATTGAAAAAAAAAGCTGTAATTCAAAGAAAGCCAAATATGGTGCACAATATTTACATTATTCGGACTATTGTCCTCATCTTTGTTGCCATATTTATTACAAAGTTTCGGCCTTTGTACGCTCTGGCCTTCTTCAGATGGTTGGAATGTCGAACTGAACCTTTTATTTCGCTCGCTGGTATAGACTGTTCTAGTTCCACGTGCCATGTCTAATGTATGTCAGTTATCTCAGTTATGTAGAGAAAAGGGAGATCATCGCCCTCTGTGGGATCAGGTTGAAATCATAGACAAAGAACATTATTGGAAAATTCGTAAACTTAAGGAATCAGCACATATGCCAGGCCACAAAAATCTCCTGAGCCGACCAAGCATAGAAATGAATACAATAAGAAAACCAGTAATGACCTAGATTTTTGATTGAAATCATGTTTTTCTATATTTCTGAGTTGAGGCATTATGTACACTATTTACATTATTCGGACTATTGTCCTCATCTTTGTTGCCATATTTACTGCAACGTTTCGGCCGTTGTACACTCCGGTCTTCTTCAGGTGGTTGGAATATCGAACTGAACCCTTTATTTCGCTCACTGGTGATCCAGAAAGTCGAGCGATTGATAGATCTGGCTGGTGCGAGGATTTAAAAAAAAGAACCCCTCACGAAACAATTTATAATGAATTACACAAATTACAATACTACGGAAAAATACCACAAATTACACAAATTCACTCAATGGCATCTCACTATTAGTAACCACAGAAATGAGTGTCAGTTCACGCATGCGCGGTAATATTCTTTCTGATTGGTTGTTAAGTTGCATCAAGGCCACACAACCTGTTTGAATTGGCTAATATCTTATTTATTATTTTCATAATCTTTCTTCTTTTTTTCTTTTACATAAATTTGTTTTTTTACAGTTTATCAACCCATTACAGGTTATTTAAAGCTAGAAAAACTTTTAGAGAGTAAGTTTTTTTTCACAGATAATAATTGTTTATTGATACAAGGCTTTTTTCTATTTTTTTATACAGTATGGTTCACCCTTTACAATGCCACACAAGCAGGAGAAACAAGTCATTATTTTCTAGACAATTTCTGCGACTACATCACACCTTACATCTGGCCATTTAACTCCCTAGACTGCAACTTCCTCGATTATTATGTGTGGGACGCAGACTTGCCACTACTTTAAATTTCATGTACTTGCACACAATCTTCAGGTAGCCAGTAATATTTACCTACCTCCTCACGAGGTAGGATGTGGTACAGATTCGAGTTTAATGTAAGCTTGGCCAAAATTTCTCCGTAGACCCCGCATAAACGGGTCGGGTATGTCTACCTCCCCGGATGAGACTCTGCCCTTCGGCATAGCCTCGTCCGTGTTCCTTTCTGCCCGAAGGCTGCCTACCTAACTGAATCTTCAGGTAGCCAGTAACTTGCAGTAATAAGATGATTACCTTATATACCGCCGGACGAGTACAATTTGACAAGCAAACCAAGCTCACACAGTGGGGAGGGTACATCATCCAGCCAAGATCTAAAATGGCAAGAAAAGAAGAAAATTCCACCTGGAAAGGTTTGCCAGTATAGCAAAAAGCGCTCAATAACAAGAGAACCTAGACGTCTTGGTACAGAAGCTGAAGCATTAAGCCCAAAAAAATTGCTCAACTGGACCAGAAATCCAAATTCACGTTAGAGCATATACTGCTTGTCAAATTGTACTCGTCCGGTGGATATAAGGTAATCATCTTATAACTGAAAGTTACTGGCTACTTGAAGATAAGTTAGGCAGGCAGCTGGAGCTGGCTATTTGCTAATCTCTTAGATGTTGTCGAACTCTCTGCCTTCGGACAGAGAGGAACCCGGACGAGGCTATGCCGAAAGACCGAGTCTCATCGAGGGAGATAAACAGGCCCAAACCTGTTTATGCAGGGTCTACGGGGAATTATGGGCCGAGTCCACGGGCTCGGATTGACTCACATTAAACTCGGACTTGTGCTACATCCTAACTCGTGGGGAGGTCTGTAAATATTACTGGCTACCTGAAGATTGTGTGCAAACACATGAAACAAAGTAGTGGCCAGTCATAACCTACCTGGTTATTGAACTAATAGGCCACGCTACAACATGTTTGACACGCAGACTCACTCTACACCTTTCTGACCATAGCTCAATTATATCTCATTTAAATATTCAGGGAGACCTACCGGACACTATTCGTAACATACTTGTTGACAACACAAATATAATAACGTCAAATACATGAAAAAAAAAAGGCTAAAAATAATGGAAGCCTTATAAAAGCAAAAAAAAAAAAAAAAAAAAAAATACTGAATAATATTAATTTTGAACATGGACACAATATATTGACCGTGTTTTGAAAAATGAAAACATTTTATAAAACATACATACAACAAACTATTTCTTATTTAACAGTTAAAATATTTAATCCTTGAAAATGGCTAAATGTATAGCCGAAAGCGCTCGGATAAAAAGAACATTTGAACAGTTTTTATATAATTTATCATCCGAAAAAAAAAATTAGATCGTATGTATAAAAAACTAAATAAAAGCACCTTGTCTGTCGTATTCAATTAAATGTGCATGAAAGAAGGATTGCTGCCTAAATAAATACACACACACACACACACACACACACACACACACACACACACACATATATATATATATATATATATATATATATATATTATACAGTTGTAAAACGTTCATGAAGTATATTTGTTTCGAAATATATCCCATAATGCATTTCGCCGTTTAAGGCTTCATCAGACTCGAAAGCGAAAAATGAGATGTGTGTATTTGTGTATGTTTAAATAATAATAAGTTTTTTCAGCAAGCTGGCGTTTTTCGTGATTAAAAAAGAAAAAAAGAAAATGAACGACTTGTAAAAAAGTCGTTAATATGTATTTTCTTTAAATATACAATTGTCTAAAATTTAAAACTTTATAGGGGGCATATATCTTAATTTTTAATATCTCTCTCTCTCTCTCCCTCTCATTATATATATATATATATATATATATATATATATATATATATATATATATATATATATATATATGTTATGGGATTCACCATAATAATAATACTAGACTATTCCATACTTAATAAATACTGCGCCTCAGGAGTAGGCAGGTAGTCAGTCAGTGGTTCAAGTCGAGTTCAAGTTCGAGTCAAGAGTCGAGTCAGAGGCAGTCCGAAACAGAGTCGCCTTCAGACAATTACTGCAAGACATTGGAATAGTGATACTGGTCGAGACTACATTGTTCTCTCTACTAAACCTGATTGTTCATACTAACACATTCTACTTCTCTGTATATATTCCTGTTTGTAATATATCTGTGTTATTCCATACCTGTATTCGAGTTCTTCTTTATTGGTTCTACCTTGGACTATCACAGTGGTACAAGAAACCGGACCATAATATATATATATATATATATATATATATAAAGACGTGGCTCTTGAGGAACAAGCCGTAGGTTTTCAAATACGTGGAGGTGTATCCCGTCAGAACTTACAGAGGTCCGTTGGTACGACGCTTGGATTGTATCGAAACGGTCGGTCATTTTCTTTTTCCTTTCTTTCACCATACAGTCAGTTTTAGACCCACTGATTTGACAGGGTGGAATCGATTTCTATTTTATCCTTTGATTAGGCCATTTGGAGTGGTGTGCAGTAATATGCATCGATTTTTGATAGATAGATAGATAGATAGATAGATAGATAGATAGATAGATAGATAGATAGTGGTATGGGACCTTACCCATAATAACATAATGGACTCTTCCATACGTAATAAATACTGCACCTCAAGAGGAAGCAGAGAGTTGAAGTCTGAAGTCTGGAGTTCCGTCTGAATCTGGAGTTCAGTCTGAAGTCTGGAATGAGTTTCGTCAGGCGTCAGTCAGTCAGTCAGAGCGAGTCAGTCAGTCGAGTCAGAGGCAGTCCGAAACAAAGCCGCGTTCAGACAATTACTGCAAGACATTGGAATAGTGATACTGGTTGAGACTACATTGTTCTCTCTACTAAACCTGATTGTTCATACTAACACTTCTACTTCTCTGTATATATTCCTGTTTGTAATATATCTGTGTTATTCCATATCCGTGTTCGAGTTCTTCTTTATTGGTTCTACCTTGGACTATCACCGTGGTACAAGGAACCGGACCATAACAGATAGATATATAGATAGATAGATAGATAGATATGAATAGAGTGAGATAAATAGATACACCCTTAGTTTCTTTTCTTTCACAATACGGTCAGTTTAGACCCACTGGAATGACAAAGTGTAATCTATATTTATTTTTTCCTCAGAGTAGGTCATTTACGGTGGTGTGCAGTAATATGAATCTATTTTCGGGGTGTATGATGGAATTTGTTTGGTCTTGAAAAATATTGCGTCATCCATGATAGCTTCTGATTTTTATCACGTTCAGACACTATTGTTTCGACTGTCGATTAGTTGTCCTACGGCCATTGTCTGTGATGGACGTTACTGCAAGGAAGCGTACGAAAATTTGTAACACTGCACAAACACACTGGCAAGCCTTACCAGTGAAAAAATCAAAGTACTAGGCTGGTCCGGAGACTCTCCTGATATAAATCCAATCGAAAATTTAAGGTCAATCTGCAAGGAACAACTTCGGAGAATGGACATACGAAGTACTAACATGGGCACTGGGTCATGTTTCATTAGAAAAATGCGATAAGAAAGTAAATAATAACGGAATTATTTGTTTTGTTTCAATTAATTTGCACAAGGGTGTAAATTTTAAATCAATGTTTATTTTTTTATTAAATATTTGGCACTCTTTTGAAATTATAAATTTTAAATCAAAATTTATTTAGGTTGCCTTGCAATAACTCAAACCCTCAGAATGAAAAATTACCAAAAATCAGGAAGTTATTCATATTTCGTAAGTACGGATGATATTTAAGGTACTTGCAGGGAATTTTTGACAATTTAAAAAAAAAATGTATTTGGCTTGTTTATCGAGGTGAGAAATAGCACACCCGAATCGCCCACATTTGGGGCGACGCAACTGTCAACCCAAACGGAGTTGAATTAGAAGAGCATCCCCCTGGTTGAATTTGGTGTGAATTTTAGTAAATATAAATTCTTATTTTTGCAGGGTAAATTAGCGGAAAAGATCCAAGCTGTGTATAAGCAACTAAACATTGTCTTTAAAATTCGCGAAAAAAAACCCAAAAACAAACTAGGAATTTTTTGTTCCAACCCAATATTTTTACATTGATTTTCGTCACTAGCTCGATCAATATTCGAACTATTGTCATGATTTTTTTCAACATCGTCTGGAAACTGTGAAGACATTGGCACCGTTCCCAATAAGAGCATATTGAACGAAATTGCACAACGCTTTTATAAAGATTTTTCAGCTCGGCAAACGTCTGTTTGTTCTGCTGAGTTCTACAGAAGATGATAAATACGGAAGAGAGATAGGATTCCACAGGCGAAGAATTTGATGCGTACAGCAGAGATACCAAAATCAATATTTTCGAGTTCCTTGGTATTCGGTTGACAACCCCACCACATAAACGCAACCCCAGATATTCTCCACGGTGTCCGTAATATTTGGCAGGTGAATGAAGAGTCAGGAGCTGAATTGCATATTTCGTGTAAAAATAATTCTAGTCCAATATTTAACGTTTTTACTATCGCCACGTATTCGTTCTTTCTCTGCGTTTTTCTCTATATACACATGTCCTGGGTATGACGATAAACTACATCCGGCACTGTCATATGAGAAGAAAATGAGTAGCTACCGACACAGAGGTTCGAACGTGACATTCTGGACTAACGAATATATGTTTTCTGCCAGGTCTATAAATAGCGGTGTCAGTCTACTGACTGCAGTGATTACTGAGTAACAATTGAGTGGAACTATCCAGTCGAATTAGTGTGAATTACAGTAAAGTAATGGATAGCGACTCTGATTGATGAATCGGAGAGCCGAGTTCGAATTCCAGTCGAATCCATTACATTCACTTACCTCTTATTCTCCCCATCCCATTTTGTGCAAAGAGCAGAACAGACCGGCTTCTGTAGCCTTGGAAAAAAATTCTGACTCGTTAGATGTATCGAAAGACACATGATCGCCTAAGCGTGTATCACGCAAGGCACATAAATAATCGTGCATCGATGATTTGGGTTTTGATTTAGGATTTACCGGACGTTAAGCCGAGCAGCGATACTAACAAGGTATTTACTGAAATGGTTAATTATCTTTGGTTGACTTTTATTTCTGTGTTTTTGTTAAGTATTTATTTGAGGTTGTAATTAAATACTGTTTTATTTAACATTGAAGTCTTAAGTTATACTTAATTATTAACGGCCACCTTACGTCACAAAAAAATATAGGTACCTCCAAAAATTAAAAACAAAAAGAGCATAGCATGATGAAAAAAGGCCCCAAACTTGATAAAAAACAACGTCATATAGAAAGAAAATGTGTTAGTACCGATACCGAGGTTCGAGCGTGACTAATGAATATATGTTTTCCGCCAGGTGTATAAATAGCGGTGTCAGGCTACTGACTGCGGTGATTACTGAGTGGAACTATCCAGTCGAATTAGTGTGAATTTTTCTGCATCGATGATTGGGGGTTTGATTTAGGATTTACCGGATATTAAACCACGCTCCTAACAAGGTATTCACTGAAATCTTTGGTTGATTTTTACTTCTTTGTTCTTGTTAAGTATTTATTTGGAGTTATAAATGAATACGGTTTTATTTAACATTGAAGACTTCAGTTATACTTAATTATTAACGGCCACCTTACGCCACAAAAGAGAGCAAGGCCGCTAAATGTGAGATTGGATGTTTTGAGAAGCGTGGAACGACCTCTGTTGTTCCCAGGTCCACATTGACCTGTGTGGTAGCATCTGTTAAGGTCCTTGCTATGGCTAACTAGTGTACCGCCAAATAAAAATAAACAATACATTTTTATAGTAAAATGAAAATGAAAACAATAAAAATTTAATAATATTATTTTATAGTAAAATTCCCAACAAACACACACAATATATATATATATATATATATATATATATATATATATATATATATATATATAAGAAACGATCCATTATTCTGAAAATATAACATTACGTACAAAATGTTTAGATTTCGGCATTAAATAAGCCATAGAGATGTTGATATGTCGTCAGAAAATCAAGCAACCAACATGAAAGAACTTCCATGACATATGTCCCTATAAAAGACTAAAATTTCTTAAAGAAATCAAACTATTCAAAAATATAACTTCAACAAAACTACAATAAAACACAGCTCTACTAATCATGTCTACACAAATATATATATATACACGTATGTCTGTGTGTGTGTGTGAGTACATGTCTGTGTGTGTGTGAGTACATGCCTAAGTGTATGTACCTACTTGTATATGTTTTTGTGTGTATTAGTATGTGTTTTTGAACATAGAAATATTTGGTCCTTGCTAAATTAGACAATCGTTATATTCATCTTCATATATTTATATTTGATTTCTAACCACACAATTACAAACTTTAAGTAAACACATTTTATTTTCCTTCTTCCCATCTCTCTCCCTACCTCTTCTCTTTCTTTTTTTTTTTTTTCTTTTTTTTCCCTCCTATCCAAATTGTCTATGGTGTGTATATGTCACCACGAAATATCTTTATATTAGACATCCGTATTTTCTTTCTCCCTCTTTTTATATCTCTTTAAAATTCTCTCTGTTAAGGTTTCATCTCCCTCCTCCTCATACTTTTTTTCTAAATTCTGTTTTGATTTCGAGTTGTTTTTTGTCTGTTTTCATTTTGAATTTGTAGGTCTGATGATTTGGATCGTATTTGATTCAAATGGAATAAATTTTGGAATATTAGTGTTTAAGCCTTTTTTTATTATATCCTTACTCTGTCCTAGACATTGAGTTCTACCTGGATCCTTCCTCTTGGAAAAAAAATTTTTTTTTTTTTCTGAAATATACATGTATGGAAATTTTTATATATATTTTGCATATGTATGTATTTTTTTCTAACGTCTTCTATGCGGATTGATTCATTATCTATATATATATATATATATATATATATATATATATATTTTTATGGATAATATGAAATCACGTGCCTAACGTTTTGCGGATTGATTTGGATTATATATATATATATATATATAAACGGTGAGTATCATCTACTATGTATTCAATTGTGAATGAAAAATAGCATATATCATATTTCTATTACCTCAAAGTTCCCAAGAATATTAAATTTCGGCATTAAATGACCCATAACGCGTCGATATGCCGTTAAACAAACAAATCAATCAATCTATATAGACATAACACCTCCAAAAGAAAACGGGATTCATTTAAACATCATTGAGAAGCTTTCCTGTCTGAAATCATCATGGCTGAGGCTAATCTCCAGAAGAACAACTTTTGACATAGTCTTGGGTTCACGAGTGATTATATTGAATCAATTGCTAGATCTAATGCTAGAAAAGTTGGTTCACTGTGTCGTACCAGATAATTTTTCTGATCTGAACCCACATTTCACATTTATAAATCTATCAATCGTCTGTGCATTGAATATTGCTACCATATCTTGCCTGGTGCTACAGATATGCATTTTTCGAGATACTTGACAAAATCCAAAGAGAGGTCTGTAATGTTATCTGTCATGACCTGACATCTCAGGACAGCAGATAGCGATTGACATTGCGTCTAAAGTTTTGCAGATTAAAGTTAACTAGAAAGTATGGATCCGGAAGAGATTCCCAAAAGCGACAAGTGCGAAAAAAAGAAACAGTTAGCATACAATATACGGTTATATCTCGCCAACTGAACTGTAAATTGATGACTTAATTATTTTATTTTGTTTTAAAACAGTGTACAAAATCCCCTTTCAGGATTGACATCATTTGCCATGTCATATTCTCCTTAACCTTGCCCATGACATTTTAATGACAATTTTAGCTTTGAGAAAAGTTACAACTTACAAAGAAAAAAAGAAACTTGGCATTCTAGTAATATAATGTTTTTTGCCGAAAATCCCTGCAGTTTTCAGGAGACATGGTAGCTGCCATTTTGATTCTTGACGCATTCACGCATACACACTTGCATCTGGAATAGACGGGCGTGCCTGGCTATTTAGTTTTTCTTGTTTTTTTTTGTTTTTGTTTTTTTAACCGACCCAGTGTTATTACAGATGACCCCGTTGATTCTATTTTTTCAAACCCG